CTTAAAAAAAAAAAAAAAAAAAAGAGTTCTTGAAAAATCATATACTTAAAACAGTTCTTTTAAACCTACTTTGCCACAAAGCACAGAACAGATAAAGTTTTTATTTTGAAAGTTATCAGCCTTATAACCAATAGCCTGAGAAATATTTGTCTTCACCTCACCTCCTTCTTCATTGCTTCTATTTTCTCCTTTTTGTACTGAATACTTCTGATATAGCAAAATTGGGTTGATGATAGTGAGTGGGTGAGAGAGGTAAAAAAAAAAAAAAAAGAAAGATAAATCAAGAAATGACAGTTGAAAGGGCAGTAATAAACCTTGGCTTGGCAACTGGTTGAATATTATAGCACAGACTGAAACATGGAATTCATTGGTTGTGCTCCAATTTTATGAATGTGAGGAGCAGGAAAAAAACAGATTCCCACTGAATATTACCTGTTCTTTTTTAATTAATAGGAAATACAGCTCATCAAAATTTGATAAGCAATGAATACCGAAAAAAGCACCTATTTTCCTATACTCAAAATAATAATTCTTTATTCTTATTAAGCCCTTCTCAGGAACTTGCACAAATAATTTCACTAACCATAAATAACAGCACTTTCATATAGATATATTTTGCTGTTTACAAAACAAAGACTTTTGAGCCATACTAGCTAGCTATTTGTGAATTTAGACAGTTAATGACACAATTCTAAATTTTATTTTTTTAAAAAAAGCTTTTAACTGTGTTCTAAAATTCAAAATTAAAACTCTTTAAAAGCTCAAATGATCCTGAACTCAAGTGATCCTCGAATTCTACCAAAAACTAAATTCAACTGATAACAGCTTAATCTATATTTTAGTGTATTTTAAAAAATTTTTTAAACATATGTTTTTACTGACTTCAGAGAGGGATAGGAAGGATAGAAACATCAATCACAAGAGCACTGATCAGCTGCCTCCTGCACACCCCTACTGGGGATTGAGCCTACAACCCTGGTATGTGCCCTGACCGGCAATCAAACTGTGACCTCCTGGTTCATAGGTCCATGCTCAACCACTGAGCCACATGGGCTGGGCTATATTTTAGTTTTTTACTGTATCCTTTTTGTAAAACTCTATTTTAAACTCCCATGGAACCATTCTCCCTAGTACTCTTCCTCCTCCTTCTCATTTTAATTGTGGATATCACTTATAAATCAGCCCCTTATTCCTTGTCTTATTTTATATTTAATTCCCCTGAACACAAGGATTCATTCACCACCTATATCAATTTGTATCTGTCCAAATCTGACTTTAACTTATTGGGGCACATTTACTTATCAATCAAACTTAAACTCCTCTCGCCCCAAATTCCCCAAATAGATGCTTCATCAATTAGCATCTATTCTAAAAAGGCCAGATTCACTACTCCTTCCTTTACAAAGTCCCTGTATTGTCCTTTCCCTTCCCCAGCCACCAGCCTCTCCAGGTCATTATCATTCACATATATTATTTCAATAGCCTCTTAGCTGATCATCCTACCTACTTCCAACCTCTCCACACTTTGTCCAACAAATACAAAGAGCTGCCAGAATTTACCACTTCAATTTGCCCTCTCAGAAACCCACAGTGCCTCCTCACTGTTTCAATTCCAAACTCTTTGGCCAAATGTTCTAGGTAGTAACTTAGGTAGTTATTTAAAAATCACCTAAGTAAACAGATTTTTTCTTTTCTTTAACTTAACAAACATAGCTGCCATTAGCCCCTTACATACTTCTAGATTTCAAAAATCATCCTGTTTTAAGATCCCACAAATGGTATAATGTGAGGGTTAAGAATACTGGTTCTGTAGTTTCATTTGAATCCAGCCTCAACCACTTAAGAACTAAGTCACATAAATCAAGTCCTTTAACATAATCTATTTCACTAAGACACTAATCCTACCTCCTAAGGGGGTTCTGAAAATTTAAAAATACCCTTTAAAGCACCAGGCCACTGCACAGTACACTGTAGAATTGTAGAATGATCAATACATGTTAGCCATTGTCATTAGTTTTACATGACCACTCTGATCTAGGCAAGCCAATTTGATTGTTCTACCAGAGGCTATACATTTGCTTTCATTATTCTTTTTTATTTTATTTAAAATATATTTTCATTGATTTCAGAGAAAAAAGAAATATCAATGATGAGAGGTGTTACCTCCTGCACACCCCCCAAAGAGGATCAAGCCCACAAGTCCCAGAAATGTGCCCTGACCAGGAATCAAACCGTGACCTGGTTCATAGGTTGATGCTCAACTACTGAGCCACACTGGCCAGGCATGCCTTCACTATTCTTGACTCCTTCAACCACAAACTGTTAGAAATGGAATAGGTCACAGAGAGGATTCAAGCCTGGGTTATTCAGTTTGGTGTGTAGTACTGAATTAAAACAAGTGCACACATGTCACACAGAAAACAGTCTTTAGTAAATATTTGTTGGGTAAATATATTAAATGCTAAAGAAATGTTTAGTTAATATGTACCCTACTTTTGTCTCCTATTATCTCTAAAATCTTACCAAATCATATGCATCTAAAATAAAACTGTTTCTTAAACAAAGCCCTACAGCTTCAAGTAAGTACAGTTTGAAGTACTCAAGACAGGAATTAAAAAGAAACAAACAAACAAAAAAAACCTACCATGTTACTTGTTAGCTGTCCTCAAATTGATTCAACTAACTACACTGTATCTGTCTAGGTACTTTAAGCCTTCCTGAAGGTATGTATCTATGTTCTCTCTCGTATCTATTAGTAATTCTTGGGTCAATGCTTAAAAGTTAGTGCTAAATGTGCAGTTAAGAATTCCACCAATTTTCGAAATAATAAGAGCACCATCAAAAAAATGTGTAAAAATATAGTAAGATTTTAAAGTTGTCAAAAAACTAGGCATAGTCCTAGCTCTTTATGCTTCCATCTCCCCTACCCCCTACCCCCAAAGAAAACAAATCCATACAGAACTACAGATTTTTCCCAAGAGATTTTTAAAATTGGAAGGGCCTCAGTTCGAATGTGGTAGGTAGGTGGAGACAGGAGCAGAGCAAGGACAATGGACCAGATACAGAAGGTCACCAGGGCACAAAGCCCTGGTGCTTAGCAAAAGAAAATTTCAGGGTGGGACCTCATCCCTAGGGTGACCTTTCCTCCCCTAGCATATCAGGGGTCGTAAAGTTTGGACCCCTTGATCTTTTCTCCCTGGATTAACACCTAGGCCTCAGTTGTATTTCAGCTCCAGGCCCAGAAAAACAGCAAAACCAAACCAGCAACACCCTAGTGAACCTCAGAATCAGCTGCCCAGACACCAATCAACCAATCAGTGAAAGCCCTGACCTGAAAGGACACACCTACAAAGCTGCTGAATATTCTGAGATATTCCCTTAAAACCTCCCCTAAAATCTCCACCCTTAAACCCTTAAGTGGGATGACCCACCTCTATCTGCCTCCCAGACGCGCTGGGGCTCCTCCTTTTCCTTTCCCCTCCCCCACTCCCAACATTACCATTTAACTTCCTCACTCCCAGGGCACCCCCAGAGCCCTTCTTTAACTCTATACCTTGTTTCCTAAGCCCATTTCTTCTACAAATTACCTCTTTTACCTCTGTGATTTTCCAAATAAATGTTCTCTTATAGTTTGAGTCTTGGCTCTGAATTCTTTCCTAGCCAGAACCCAAGTACTGAGGTTGCTGAACCCAGATCCAGTACGACCCTGGCAGTTTAACACCTGGTGCCTTCCACCATCTACAGTGCCCATTCCCTTAAGTCCTACTGAGTCCCACCTGAGAAGATGAAACCCAGGAAGGCCAGATCATTAGCCCACCGGTACAACCAGGTAGTGTCAGGACTGGAAATTGAACCCAGAGTTCCTGTCAATGCTCTTTTTGCTACATCACGCATCATTTTAACTGACTTCTCCGATGCCTACTTAATCTAGAAAACAAAATTAACTATATCACATGAACTCACAAGACAATTGGATATAATCTATATGTAGCGTGAATATTAACATGTTTTTGGCTATATTCAAGAACTTGTGTAAGGAATAAGGATTTCAAACCATAAACAGAGCATTTCTATTATAATTACATTTATTCTGGAAATTATGCTTCCTCTAAAATCATCTATGCAGCCTCATCCCCAAAAATAGGTTAAGCAATCCATGTCTCAGATAAAAATGTCATCTATTCCAGGCTCATCAGCATATGTTAGAAACTGTTCCTAATATAGAATCATAAACTTTTGGAGTTGGAAGGAACCTTGAAGATCACCTCTCATTTTACAGAGAAAACTAATACCCTACAGGGACCTGCCTAAGGTCAGAATTTCTGTACAAGAAACCAAGTCCTGAATAGAAAGTTCTCAAAAGGTTTCAGAGAAAAAGCACAATATTTAGTGGAATACCTTAGTTTATCTTTCTTTACATCTACTTAAGTACAAATTCCTACATGATGAACTTTTGGAATTTAAGAAAAGAAAGCAAAACAAAAAACTAAGCCAACTTTTTTTTAAGTTTATAGCCAAGTCACTGATCCTAAAAACTTATCTCAAGTTAAGGTGGATCCTGGCAAAATCTCAGATAGTAATATTTTGTAATAAACCCCAAAAATGTACAGATATAATAGTTTAAAAGTAAAGGGGAAAAAGACACACATAAATTAACTAGCTATAATTGTTTATCTCTGTAAAAAATTTACATAGGGAATTGTTTGTATGAAAACTTTAAGAAAGAATTTTAATACATTCATAAAAGCTGGAAATTCTTCTTTTAGCATTCTTTTACGTGTCAAGTCATGTTACAAAACAATAATTGAGGAAAATATTTTATCAAACTTTAAAAAAGTTTAAAACCTTTGTCCAAACCTTAATAAAATAAGAATTATAAGCTATATTATCATGTTAAGAATATATGACGATAGACCATTCCTAAAAGTTAAGGCCTGACTAGTACTAAATTTACACCTTTTTCCTACAGTAAAAAGAGCACACCACATAAGCCAAATTACCTGTAAGAATATGTTTCTTAACTCATGAGCATCACCTCGCTTGGTTGTCTGCACCTGTGAGGGGAAAAAAAAAAAAAAAAAAAAGCCGGTTAATGCTTCACTAGAGGCCACATAATCTCTTCAGATTAGAGTTCACACGTGCTAACAATCAATGCTCTTATCTTTTATAAGGGCATTTAGTATAAAACAAACCAAAAGCGCTAATACCGATAAGAACTGTCAAATTGGAGATCTGTGACTACAGGGTAGAGAGACAAGTATGAAGAGTCTAAAATAGAGAAAATCTACCAGGTAGATTTCATCTGGATTGCAAAGGGAAGGAAGTGAGAATCAATCCATTACTTTACTACACATCCACTAACAACACGGTTAGTAACCACCCACCTTCAAATCAAGAGGCCAGCAAAAGTGGATCAACGGGAAAGCTGAAACACCCAAATTAATCGCATGGCCTAGCAGCTTTTCTTACCCATGGAAAGCAATCCAGAATACAATTATTCTTGGCTTCCCTCTCTTTCCCCACCCAACTTAAAATATGAAAGCTGCTACGTTTCCAAATACTTCCGACATTCTGCCACCTGCAGCGCAAATGCCAACCAATGCCTCCAATCACATTGAAGCCCCAAATTACTCAATTACGCCATTTCCCCCCCCCCCCCACGCAATATACAGATGCCTTAGGTACCCCGACTTTACATGCCACTTCCTCCCACTCCCTTTTCTATGGCCTCCAACTCCGGACTCACAAACCATGCACTTTGAGCAGGACAATACTCTTCCTTCACCGACCCGGGGTCCTCACAAGCCCCTCTCACTCACAATCCCTCCTCCTTCCCCTCCCCCAACCAGGCATCCTCTCCCTCCGGTCCAAGCCCCACACAGCTCTCCCACCCGCGGGCTGGAGCCCCAGGACACGCTATCTAAGAACCAGGCGAAGAAGGAAATGGGAAGAGGTGAAGGGCTACAGGCAGGGTCCCCAGAATGTCTCTTATGCAATAAAGGCAGCAGTAGAGAGTTGGAGTCACCTTGACCGCCATGCTGTGCTCGGAAGCCGGGGACGAGCGGGGGAGCGAGCAGGGCCCAGCTGTCAGGGCGCGCGCGCGCCGCCTCCCCGGCCGCGCCCGCCCTCCCGCTCGCCGGCGCCGCGCGCGTCCCTATGCAAATGAGCCGGGGCGGGGCCGGGAGAGGGCCCACGCCGGGTCCCCAAAAGGGAGCTGACCCGGGGGCGCCACCGCTCCGCGGAAGCAGGGGACGCGCCTCCATCGGGGAAAACTGGAGGGCCAGCCGCGGGATTCCGACGCTCCGCGTGGTTGCTGACAGCTTAGTCGCCGCCAGGAAGCCCCAGGTTTCCTAAGGGGCCTAGTGGGTGTGGCTTTGGGCAATGACTTCTGCCAAAGTCGTTTTATCCAGAGACTTAAAGGAACACTTGGGGCCTAGATTGAGCAAGATCTGGAAGGACCAAAGAACATGTTCCATAAATAACAATAAAAAATGAAATGATGACAACTAATGGCAAATACTAACAAAAAAGATTGGAAACGACTCACTCTGGGGGAAACCTCAAGCAGACATAACTTGAGAAATATGCCCCTAAACTGGCATGGAATGAATAGGCTTACATATTTGTGCTTCATGTACTATTATAAAGCTTTATTAGGCTCACTTCACATTCCCAATCACCCAAATCTTTTGTGCAATGAGGTATCGCACAAATGCAAATGGGGGAACAATATTTGTCTTGAACTCGGCTGTCACTGAATCCTGGCCCAATTTGCCCCTACATAAACATGTCCAGCCCTCCCTGTAAGTAGTAGCTAGTCCTTGAACCAAAATAATGTCTCTAAAACGGAGTCCTGCTATTATAACTATATTGAGCCACATATTGATTCATTCAACAAACATTTACTGGGCTGCTATAATATGCTAGACACAGTTTTGCTTGTAAGGGCAACATATAGTCCCTACCCTCTAAGTCCTAGAGTCTAGGAGTTTTTGATGGTCAGTGGTTCCATACAATCTCAACCCTAAGTGTATGTTTCTGTTTGTGTCTTTAAACCAAGCATGCTGCCTATTTAAAAAAAAAAAGTCTAACAAGAGGGATCTCTTTTTTCTACAGTCTCACTAATCATAATTGTGTTAAGTATCAAAGTTAATAGAAATGAGAAAAGGGTAACAAATGGCTATTGTTGATAAGGAATGCTACATTACTAGTACTCCTAAAATGAGCTTTTCTGCTACAGTTTATTTAATTGCCTACAACAGTACATCCTTCTTCAGTCTGTTCAAAGATCTTTAACAATATAAATTGGACATAGGATGTACAAATTCACATTTTGTTCTACTAGCATCTTATGACCCTGATACTCTCTTATTTTATGAAGTTTCTCTAAGTAAGATTTTGAGATGTTTATTTGTTACTCTACAAAGGTTAGATGTCTAATGGCCCAGAATTCCTTTTATTCAAAAGTACTTGTGAGCCCTCAAGTGTTTAGTGGGGTTCTGTTGGTTGAGCATTAACTCATGTTTGCTCGGGGAAGCACTGAGGGGGGAGGTGACCAGTCTGATTCCCCGTTGGGGCTTAGTCCTCAGTTTGGGTATGATGTTCATTTCTCTCTCTCTCTCCCTCTCTATTTCTCTCTCTCTCTAGAAAAAAAAAAAAAAAAGCATTTATTTATAGTGAGAATCCTGCCTCCACTGTGAGCGCAGCCATTTTGAACACTGTGGCATGATGGTCAATTAGCATATTCCCTCTTTATTAGATAGGATTGATTCTTAGGGAGAGTAGAAGAGAGAGGGAAAGAGAGAAACATCAATGTGAGAGAAACATATTGAGGGTTTGCCTCCTGCACACGCCCTGACTAAGGCCAGGGCTGGGGAGAAGCCTGCAACCAAGGTACAGGACCTGAGACCCTTTGGTCTGCAGGCTGACACTATATCCACTGAGTCAAACCAGCTGGACTATAAATTGTGCTTTGAAAACCTCTCTTGCTAAGAGTTTATATAATGAAATTGAAGGCATTAGGCTGGGGAAAATATGAAAGGCTAAATTTGAGCAAATTATGTTCTAGGTGGTAGACTCACCTGGAAATCAGAAAGTATTATTCTAACCCAGGCAACTTATAGTTAGATAATAGAAAAACAAAACATTTTTAAAGCTACTCTATGCTATAAAAGTATTATACTGGTTGTATGACATTTGCTCTAATTGAAATAAATTCTCATTTTGGTGGAGAGAGAGGGTGAGGTATCAAAAATCTAGTGAAATAGTTGTACTCCTGCAATTATATTTTCTTAAACTGCTCTTCCTCACAATCTGACTCTAAGTCATATACATTGTAAAATGATGGCCTTGGCTGGTTTGGCTCTGTGAATAACTCATTGGCCGGTGGCCCTGGTCAGGGTACATGTGAGAGGCAACCAATCAATGTGTCTCTCTCACATCTTGTTGTTTCTCTCTCTGTCTCTCCCCCTCCCTCCCACTCTCTCTAAAAACCAATAGAAAAATATTCTTGGGTGAGGATCAAAAAACAAACAAACAGGATGACAGTGATCTTATTTTTGGACCACAGTCTTCATTATTCCTTGTGCAATACCAGCCAGTTTACTTTTTAATGGATTTGGGGGGAAATGCATAGAATGAGCTGCTCTAAATGTTTGAGGCTGTGAGTGCCCTATCATTATAGTAGTCAAGTGTTTAGGGGGAAATCTTATGATCAAATGGAGGATTGAGCTATATGAGCTTAATTCTTCTTTTAAAATTCTAATTTCATGATTTGGAATGAGCCAAATTCTATTTAATTAATATTTACTGAATTATATGTATACTAAACTCACTGTTTAGCTGTAGGAAATATAAGAAAACAAGTAGCATGAGTCCCAGAGTATGGAAAATATTTTACTGTAGCAACTGCTACAATTCATTTTTTTATATGAATAAAGTTAAAAGGGTGTTACCAAAATCTTTTGCATATGCCAAAGGCCAGAGCAGCATTAGGTAATAATGGGATAAAATAACTCTGTAGTTTGTCACATATTCCCAATCTCATCGAAAGTATATAACTTGAAGAACAAACATCCTGCTGAGTCCCTTCGATGCCCATAAATATCCAACCTATGAAGATTTACTTGGATTTGGGTTTTGCCTCTTTTCTACTTAGAGGTCAATAAGAAAGGACACTTTGAATTTAATCCAAAGTAAGGGAAAAATTTATTTACTTTTCTGAAAGAAAATAAAGTTGGATAATTTACGCTACCTGGCTTCAAGATATACTATAGAGCTAAATAAATCAATACGGCATGTCCTCAAATAACATTTATTTTGCACATCTTGACCAAGAACCTGAAAGGTCTAAGTCAATGTTGTATTCTGCATATTCCATTCCCAATGACAATAGGATACTACTTTAAAGAGAAATTACATAAAAATGAAATGAACAGAAATTAAGTTGAGTCATAATAAGTGCCCTCTATTGGATAAGGACTTTGTATTGCAAAAGATGCCACAAAGGATAAGAATAAACTTTTGTTTATCCAGGAGCTCACAGTTCAATTTGATTCCTGTTAGAACACATGTCTGGGTTGCAGGCTGGATCCCCAATGTGAGGTGTGCAGGAGGCAGCCAATCAATGATTCTCTCTTGCCATTTATGTTTCTCTCTCTCTTTCTCTCCTCTCTCTCTCTCCCTTCTTCTCTGAAATCAATAAAGATTGATTTATGAAGCCTGGGCACATGCCCTGACCAAGAATTGAAACATGACCTGAGCCGAAACCGGTTTGGCTCAATGGATAGAGTGTTGGCTTGGGGACTGAAAGGTCTCGGGTTCGATTCTGGTCGGGGGCATGTACCTTGGTTGCGGGCATATCCCCAGTGGGGGGTGTGCAAGAGGCAGCTGATCGATGACTCTCTCTCATCGATGTTTCTAACTCTCTATCTCTCTCCCTTCCTCTCTGTACAAAATCAATAAAATATATTTTTTTTTTAAAAAGAAACATGACCTGGTTCATAGGTCAACGCTCAACCACTGAACTCACCAGCTGGGCTGTAGTTTGCACTTT